TGAGGAAGGCTGTCCCCATCCTAAATGAGCCGTCATTGATCCATTTCTAACGTAGCCTAATGCAAGAAAACAGTCAATAAACAAAGGCTCCCTTTCCCATTGATAGATAAAGAAAAATAGTGTTTGCCTTAAATAACTTAATTTGGAGATGTGATGTCAGAAAACAAGAGCTTCAAGATTTGTATTTTAACACATTGCCTTAAGCTTCTTGTGGCCATTGGCAAATTTTATTTGGTGTATACTCTTCAGAAGCCACAAGGGTCAAGCTAGAAGTTCTGCATATCAGACACTGGACCCCTGCACTAGTAGGGCTGTGAAAAAAAGGAACTATAGACACTTCAAGCAGCATTATTCTCAAAGAGCACAATCCCATATCTTGGGAATTAGATACCACCAGGAAACCAATTCCATTGCACAATCCACTATAAAGTTCCCAGATCTGCCAATCATCCTTTATCAGTGCAGCTGAAAAACATAGGCACCTGAGTTATACTAGGCCAGATTCTTTCTTCACATAGCTCAGTATTGCCCACAGAGTGACAGTGAGTCTTCAGGAACTAAGGCAGAGGTATTTCCTTCCATCTGCTACCTGGCAGATGCCAACAGAGTTAGAGAAAACTACTTTGTCTGGGCCACATCCACCAGAATCCTCCAGAATCATGGCCAGTAGCTGAGGAATGTTTGGAGTTTTATTTTTAAAAAAAGAGCAACTTTTGCAAACTGAATCTGGGACTGGGACATTTTGCACTGATTTTGCATTTTCCACTGAACTAGGATCTCTCAATTTGCTCTTGGGATAGTCCATCTGGGTACCCATCTGCACCTGTCTATTTGTTTCTCACTCTGTATGTGAACACTGAACCACATCCATTCTTGAACAGCTCTCAGCAACGGATTAAAATAAAGTGTATTTTGGAGGGCTTCTCATTTCTAAAATATTCCAAGAGAAATATGTGAAGACACATCTTCATTTCATTTGCAGAACCAAAATAATAGTTTTCCTAACTTGGGATATTTGTAAAGACAGTGAGCCAATTATCCACTGTTTTCTGGTTCGCACTGTAGCTCCAGGCTTAATATAATAATATGGTATGTTATAAATGTCATGTGGCTTTTTCTGCTGGGGATGAATATCAAAAAGGAGAGATCATAAGGTTACTAGTTTCTTTGAAATCAAATCTACAAAACTCACTGTGCCTATTGTCTGAAAGTTTATAGACTTGTTTTTCCACTTAATATTATGCTACTAGCCGCATGCTTGACATTTTCTGTCTCACAAAATGTCTTAATGTTATTTTTGTTATACAATAATATTACAAAAGTGGCTATTTGCTGAGCTTGGAAACGACCAGAATCCCCATGGGCCATGATGGCAGGGGATTCTGGGAACAGTACTGCAAGAAACAACTACTCTAATCTCTGGATATTCAGCAGTTGGAACTGCAGCAAACGTTGTGACTAGAGGGCTGATAAACTTTCAATCAACACTTGGTTGAAGGGTTATTATAGCTCACTGAGCTGTATTCAGAGGTTCACCCAGTACACTGGTTCTTAACCTTCGCTTACTCAGATGTTTTTGGACTGCAACTCCCAGAAGCCTTCACCATCAGCTCTGCTGGCTGGGGTTTCTGGGAGTTGCAGTTCAAAAACACCTGAGTAACAAAGGTTAAGGACTACTGACCCAGTATATCATGTATTTATATATGAGGAAATATGCCAGCAATTTTCAAATGAAGACCATCCCAAACAATTCCCCCACACCTTCTGAATTTAGTAAGTCGCATGATTCATCCCTTGCCTTACCACCAAATAAAGTCTACCTCAAAGGAAATATTGAATGTTTTCTTTACTGTTTGCCCTCTTTGAAGCCTTAACTTGAGCATTTAACCTTGGTGAAGACACTGAACCAGAAAAACATTAGGCCAGCTCCATGGCTGCTATGGTAGCCATGAAGTAATGAGTCACACCAGAAAAGGTTTTCTCACTATGGAAAGCTGAAAAACCACCGGACTAAAAGTCTGAGGTTTTCCAGTTTTGTAAACTCACGAATCTACTACAAACACAAAGTTTTGATATGGGATGATGTGGGGAGGATGCTGAATGACTGCAGCCTTTGGTCAAATAAGATTGGGAAACGCATTCCAGTTCATGCCACCGTGGATGAAATCTGAAATCAACACATGTGGCCTAAGCAACCTCCATTTTATTTATTTTTTATTGTATTTATATCCCGCCCATCTGGTCAATTGACCACCACTTTGAGACTTGCTTTTCCCAAAGAAGCCTGACATGCTCATATGGCCATGATTTTTAGAACATTCATATTTCTTCCACCCACAGCTTTGTGGTGCTCAGCCTGATGAAGCATATATTTGTGATGACATAGACTAACAAAGGTATCACCCAGCCTTCAGACTGTTACAAAGAGAACATGTCTTTTCCCCAAGTTATTCATTTATTGTTAGGAATGTTGTGGAAGGTAGAGCACACAGGTACCCCTCCATTGTGCTTAGATCCAGATCCAGATCAAGATGACAGCCCTCTCATTGTGATTACCAGCAGTCATTGTTGTAGCTGCAACCTGCTGAAACTTGTAACTAAGATCCCAGTGCTGAAGTTCAGTCTTTGTCCCCCTCCTTCCTAATTCCTTTTCCTTTAATGCCATGTCTTTTAGACTGCAAACCTGAGGGCAGGATCTATCTCATTCTTGATATATATGGATACTTCATGTAGCTTCAGCACCTTCGTGAAAGTCATCATTAACACTGTGTATGTAATGTGCCGGGAGGATAGCACATGTCACGGCAATTTTTAAAAAGGGAAGGAGGGGGGAGCCAGGAAACTACAGGCTGGTTAGCCTAAAGTCTATTCCATGGAAGATGGTGGAAAGCATCATCCAAGATAAAATCTTAAAATGCATAGAAGAACAAGCCTTGCCGAGGGAAATCAGCATGGCTTCTGTAAGGGTAAGTCTTGCCTCACAAACCTTTTAGAATTCTTTGAAAAGGTCAGCAACAGGCATGTGGGTGCAGGATAAACAGCGGATATTGTCTCTCTGGATTTTCTGAAGCCGTTTGATGTGGTCCCTCGCCAAAGGCTGCTGAGAAAACTCCATAGTCAGGGGATAAGAGGGCAGGTCCTCTTATGGACTTAAAATTGGTTGAGAACCAGGAAACAGAGAGTGGGTGTCAATGGGCAATTTTCACAATGGAGAGAGGTGAAGAGCAGTGTGCCCCAGAGATCTGTCATGGGACCGGTGCTTTTCAACCTGTTCATATATGACCTGGAGACAGGGATAAGCAGTGAGATGGCCAAGTCTGCAGATGACACAAAACTTTTCTAGGTGGAGAAAACCAGAAGGGATTGTGAAGAGCTCCAGAAGGATCTCTTCAAAGTGGGAAAATGGGTGGCAAAATGTGTTTCAATATAAGAAAATGTAAAGTAATGCACGTTGGGGCAAATATATAAACTTTATTTATAAGCTGATGGGTTCTGAGCTATCTGTGATGGATCAGGAAAGAGATCTTGGTGTGCTGGTGGACAGTGGAGAAGGACTATTCCATGCTAGGTGTCATTAAAAAGGGGATTGAAAATAAAACAGCCAACATTATAATGCAATTGTACAAAATGCTGGTAAGACTATACCTGGAGTATTGTGTACAGTTCTGGTAGCTGCACCTCAAAAAAAAAACATAGTAGAACTAGGAAAGGTGCAGAAGAGTGTGATTAAAATGATAACTGGGCCGGGGCACCTCCCTTATGAGGAAAGGCTGCAGCACTTGGGGCTCTTTAGTCTAGAGAAAGGGCACCTGAGGGGGGGGGACATGACTGAGACGTATACAATTATCCAGGTGATGGATAAAGTGAAAAGAGGGAAGCTCTTTTCCTTCTCACACAATATCAGAACCAGGGGACATCCACTCAAATTGAGTGGTGGGAGAGTGAGAATGGTCAAAAGAAAATATTTATTTGCCCAGTGTGTTGTTAGTCTGTGGAACTGCTTGCCACAGGATGTGGTAATGGCATCTGGCCTAGATGCCTTTAAAAGAGGATTGAACAGATTCCTGGAGGAAAAGTCTATCGCGGGTTACAAGCCGTGATGGGGATGTACGTATAATCTCCAGACTTCAAAGGAAGGTACCTCAAAATGGTATCAGGGTATCAGGAGACAGGTATCCAGTTGTCTCGTTAGCTCCCAGAAGCATCGGGTGGGGCCATTGTGCGATACAGGAAGCTGGGCTAGATGGGCTCTTGGTCTGATCCAACAGGCTTCTTCTTATGTGCTTAAGTCACACCTGACTTACAGCAACTTTAGCAGGGTTTTCAAGTTATGTTAAATACTTAAGGGGTGGTTTTACTAGTGCCACCCCCACCTCCAAGTGAGTTTTTATGGCTGAGTAGGGATACAAATAGGCCTCCTGTGTCATAGTCTATTGCTTTATCCACTACACCACACTAGGTATCCTCCATATTAAAAGCAAATCTGTAAATGACAGTCTATTACGCAATTTGTCAGTACAGAAGAAAGCTCTCCTGCTTGATTTTTTTTAGTACAATTAAAAACAACTGTGGGGGGGGGGGAGTCCAACAACACCACAGTATTATTCTCCCTCAAACAGGAATAAAAAAGTTCTGGTAGCATTTGCTATGTGAATAATTAACATTTATTACTAATTGATACTCTAATTAAAGCCATGCCGGTGCTTTCCATTAGCTTATTCTCGATTTTTTACAGAGCTGTCCGTCTGGTTTTAATCAAAACCAAATGGCAATCCAAGTTCCCAGGCTGGAGCAACTCAGAGGAAATCATTCAGAGGAGGCAGAAGAAAGTAGGAAAAGATAAACAGCAGATAGTTTCACCAACTCTGTGTCGAAAGGAGGATGTAGATGCTGTGGGCTGCTCCAGAGAGATGATTCCGGCACCCTGTCTGATTGGAAAAGAGTAGTTACAAATGTATTTTTTAAACATCAGCTGAATTTTAATATGATCAAGATGGAGTCTATCCTCATGGTTTTTAAATCCTGGATCTGTGAAACTCTGGAAACACTCCATAGAGGTAATTTGCAATATACATCTAGATTATGGCAGCTTTTATATACAATGGCATTTTCTCTTGATAGCTCTCAGTCCTTGCATTAATTGTTAGAATTTAAGCTTCACCTTATATTTGCATATCTTGCACCCGTACTGTCTATCTGTCCTGCCTCTTCTTACTCCTATGCTCTTGCCCACTTCTTTCACTAATTCTTTGCTTGGTATGCTGAAGAAATAGCTTTGCAATATCATGATTGAATCCAAATTTCTCAGCTGTTACTCATTTGCTGTTCGGGAGAATTAAATCAATGTTGGGAATGCTTTCAAAGTTGTGCTTGTATTTGTGGGGGGCAAATCAATGAAATTCATGTTCATATGAGTGTATCTTCATAAAAGGCCACAAGTTAGAAAAACGGGGATTGGTGTCATAAATATCTTAACTCAGTTTAGTTGAGCTCCCTGTGTCAGGATTTTCCTCCCCTCCCCTCCCCATCCCAGTCTCTCTCTCTCTCTCTCTCTCTCTCTCTCACACACACACACACACACACACACGTTCACAAGCCTACTACTCAACAGCAGGAAATACTTTCAAAGCAATCTGGGCCTGCTTCTTGAGGCCCAGTCTCACAAAACATCAGTCTGCATTTTGTAGACAGAAGTAACAAGGGAAAGCTTGGTAGAATTCCACCTCCTTGAGGCTCCCTCCAGCTGCAGAACGTGTTTCGGTCAGAATCACACATATAGAGCAAAAGTGCTGAGAATAGAGCCATGATCTCAGCAATGAAATCCGAACTTTATGCTAGTGGAGGCTGAAACGGTTTCTGGGTGGTTTAATTTTTTTTCCCTCCCTCTCGCCTTTTCCCTCCCTTTTCATACACAGCTAAACTTGTTCAGATAAGTAATTTTGACTATTTATACCTTCTTCTCATCTCCATGAGGTAAACCTGAAAACTTTTAGAACCATTTTTAAAATAAAAAATTAAGCCGATGTGAAAGATACATTCTTTTTCTGGAATCTATAAAAATGTCAGGACTCTGTTGTGAAGCCTTCTGCGCTGAAGATTTCAACTGCATAAATGGAATGAAAAAAATCACAGTAAGTGGAACATTGCATGCCAGCTGTGCCTTTAAATATACATGCATACGAAATCTAAGGCAAACCCTTGCTATCCAAGCTTTTCTTTTTCTTTTCTCTGTAAATTATATGTTGAAATATCTGTTTTTACTCATTTGCAAAGGACAGTGGTGGGAGCTTGACTTGTGTATTTTACAATAGCTAGAGAAAGAAAGATGAGTAGCTCTTCTCATTAACTTTCACTGCCAATAAGAAAAGGAAGGCACTCGGATTAAAAGTTAAACAACTGTTTGGCTAACATTCTGATTTGCAGTACAATCCTACAGAAGCCAATGTGTAAGGAAGTCCCATTTAATTCTGTGAGACATAACTGCAGGTAAGCAAGCATAGGTTTACATATTTTATCTTAGACATTTTTTCTTGGATCTTATCCCAGATAATACTGTGATGTAGGTATGTTTGCAATGTTATGACTGAATATGATATTATCAAATGTATTGGTCAACAAACAGATACTTTCAGAATTAATAAAGAAAATTAAAATATTTCTATTAAGGAAATGCAAATTAAATGGAAGGAGTGTGATTTAGTCAGCAACTCTGTAGATTAGGTAAGGTGGAACTTGGGCTCATTTCTGAGCAGACATGCTTAGAACAGAGCTAAGGAATCATTTTGTCCTTGGTTATAGTGTTTTTTTAATTTCTGGAGACAGGAATTCCAATGGAGCTAATGCTACCTGCAAGAAAGTGTGTGGTTTCAATTCTAGATTTTATCAGGATTTTTTCAAAGTGTTAAAAGTTCCCTAACAGCCTTATATAGTCACTGCAAAAATGGCACTAATCAATCAACCTTGGAAATGCATAAAGTAATACCAGTCAGTGTGATAGGTAACTGGATAAGTAAAATGCTAGGCAAGAGGAATCTGTTGTTAGGTAAGCTTTTGAATTAAACTTCAAGCCATAATGTTGTTATAGTGGTCGGTCACAGGCTGTAGAACTTGCGAAGCAGCACAGAAAATACACAAAAAGCAATAAACAAATACAGACTCTGTAAGCAAATCAGGCACTGCTTCTTGAATACGATATGGAGCTCTGAATTATTATTCTTCCAAGTTATGTTTTCTTATTTCCATAAAAGCCGAGGGGGAGGGTCAACTCTTTGTAGAGCTTCTGCCACGTGCTGCCATACAATTTCTTACATTTATAGATCTAGCCACACCCACAGCTGGGAGTTATTTGAGTGAATGGTTATTGCCACCTCTTGAGATATGGAATTCCATACACTATTATGCTTTTCTGGAGAAATATTTAGTTTCATCAGTCCAGCAGCTACTGTTGGTTAGATTCTTTAACTGACCCTGGATTCTAGAATTACAGGAAAAATAAAAACTTAGAGTTAGAAAGACCTTATTTATTACCTAGTCTGACCCTGTGCAATGCGGGAATCTGAACATCTCCTTGTCTCTTCTCTGCTCAGAGTTTTCAACATTAGTTGTTTGGTGTTGAGAAGTAAATAGTTCACATGTTGTAGAACTGCATTCACACATGGCATTTTCCCATGAAGAGGTGATTGCTTCTATCCCGCTGGTAGCTTCATTGCCCCAGTTTTTGCCTTTAAACTGCATGGCAAAGGAAAGCACAGTGCAGCTTGAGGGTCACTGGTGGCTTCTTAGTGTGGTGCACAAGAACTCGGAGAGGGCAACAATGTCTATCACACCCAGGAAGGTTTACCACCACTGCTTGCCCAGCTTGATTCAGACGATCATGAACAAGACACAATCAGTGTGGAGGTACAATTGTTTTGAAGGATCAGTATTGCAGCATCACGTTGTACTCAAAACCTCCAGGCAGAGGTTGTACCGTGTACACAAAGCCTATGCTTTCATGAACTGTATATACAAAGGCTCCTTCTATGCAATCATTCTTTTTTCCCAACTCCTGATCAGCCCACTCTGCTATAACACGGTCTCCATGCAGGCTCTGCATGTGTGTAGGTAGATATGGGTGCATTGGAAGAAAGAGACATTGCTGCAATATGTACTAGTTCTTCTGACATGCACCAATTGTTGTCTTGGAAGCCATAATTACTAGTGGTCTGCCATTATCCACAGTTCATCCTGAGCTATCCAGAATTCTCTACAGACCAATGCTCCATATCCATTTTATTCCACTTTTTTTGTCCTCTACAGTTGGTAGAATTGTCCTACTCATGGTAGACACATGTCTTCCTGGGTTACAAACACTGGCTAGCAGGTATGGGTGTTGTGCTGCCTGGAGTGTGTTGAGTCTGTTTTCAGTGACTGTTAGGGGGCTCAAAACTGGAGAAATGGCAGTGTGAAATGTCTTGCAAGATACAAAATTTAGATGGTGGGTTGAGTCTTCTTGTGGATCTAGGAAGCTGACTTGGTGTCAAAAACGTAAAGCTGGCATTGGCTGCTGTCTTAAAATGGAGTGCAGACTAAATGGCAGACTTAGTTGGGTTGGGTTCTCGTAAATCAAGGCTGGTAAACATGTCCCCGCCACCCCAGATGCTGTTGGTCTGCAGCTCCCGTGAATGTCACCACTTGATGTGCTAGCTGGAGCTGATGGAAGTTCTTCACAGGGCCTGAGAACTAGCATGGAAAATATACAAAAAACCAGTCAATCAATACAAACCCTGCTAAGCAAATCAGTTATGGAGTTCTGGACAGGATCTGGAGAGCCACAAGGGGACCAGTGCTGTCCTAGGTGCTATTCCAGATAAAACAGAAAGATACACACAATGGCTAATTCACTGAAGCTGTCCTGCTTCTCTAGTATGTCTCAAGCTAGTTTGTCCAGCTTCTCTTGCTAGCTCTTCAAAAACTATCTTTTTATGTGCCATCTGAAGCATGATTCACATTTTAACCCAAGGACCCTTCTAGTCTTACTGTGTCAGTAAATGTACAATTATGTCAACCAGCATCCAGAAGACAAAGCCCTAGTCTTGTCTAAACCTGTCACCAACAGATTTTGCTTCATTTTGCTTCCCAAAACTGATACTGTTAAAAGGAGATGGTTTAGATCTTTGCTGGGGACATTTCACTCCAAAAAAGCTCATCCAGGTTCCAAATATCCTAAATATATATTGTACTCTTATATGGGCTGCTTCCCACTCCCTACTCCATCTACTCTTTCTTTGTATCCCCGACTTCACATTTGCAAAAGAGACACCTGTACAACTGGTTTATACGATTGTAATGCTCCTTCCTCAGGAAGGTTTATTCCCTCAAAGTCTTGCATTGAAATCACAGATTGCATTAAATACTGTGGTCTCAGTGATTTCGAAAGGACTTGGACTAGATGTGCGGCATGCTAGCTGGATTGCACCTAGCAGAGGGATCTGCGTTGCTTCATTCAGAATGACTGAAACGGCTCTCACATGAAGAATTGGGCATTCTGATGGTTTCAGCTTTTATTTAAACAAAACCATATTTAGTTCTCATGTACAGTTGGGCTGTACAAGACATCTAGATATTTCTGGGATACTCTACAGCTACTTGTCCTGATCCTAGATCCAGATGTCTGTTCCTCTCTTTTCTCATTCTTTGGACACTTTTAGCTTCACACAACTGAACTTTGAATCTTTAGAACTAGGGAACAGTTTTACTTGTGCAGAGCTACTGTTCTTTTTCTTGCTCCAGTATCTGATCTATCTCTTGCATTCACCTGTGCCTTCTTAGCACGCCTTGTTGTTTCTCAGCTTACCATCCCTCCTTGTGTGCTTTTTGCCAGGAAGTTTGAGGCTTCATACTTTGTGAGCCAAATAAATCAGAACTGTAAATTGTAATCAAAGGATGCATGCCAAGATGCTTAGCTTATGTAATTTATTTTGAATGGGCAGTTTGGAGTTCTTTGAAGCCAAACCTAGATTACTTTGGCATTCCCTCTATGTGGGCTTGAACTTTAGCAGGCTTCTTTGTAAACTGT